ACAGAGAACCATTATTTTCTGTGTGCCCTTGTGGAGAGCTGAATATATGTTCTACAGAAAAAACACACAGCTCTTTGCAGTTGTGTAAACCAGCCCTTATTGTGATAAATGTAACTAAAAAAGCTAAAATCTAAAAAAAGATGAGAAAGTTGGTGGCAGCCCAAACCTGACGGTTGCTGGTGATGAGTTCTATAACAAACCTCTAGTGCAAATAAATTACACATGTATGGGAACCCTAAGCTTGCAGTCAATCAAGTTTTCTAAATCAAGATTGTTCCCATTTGCTGCTCATAGACAGGCAGATGCCCCATTTAGAATTTTAGGAGTGAAAAAATGTCTTGTCTTGGCACATGCAAGGACCCACTACAATCTTTTGTGCAATACAGCTGTAAGCATTATGGAGTGTAGTCATGTTATCACTTTGTTTTCTTTTCTTCAAAGAAAAGGAAATAATTAGTGCATGTTGAGCAAGGTGTAAAATGTTTGTGTAAGAAAATGAATGCAATTCCCATAGTTGAAAGTGCTCCTTATGACCTCCAAGGGAAGGACCAGTTTTCACATGCACTACTCAGTTCAATCCAGGATCAGGTGGTGCGACCATCCTTTGTTTTTCATCTTGAAACATAGTTTTGTAAATATATCAGCACTTAAGGGATATTGACGTAGGAGCCTTACATGGACATAATTGTCTTGAATAAATGATAAATTAGATGCCATATTGTTTGAGGCTCTAGATCTTCTACTTTACAACCAGTAAACTTTGATACATGACTCCCCAAGTTACTATCTGCCAGTTATACAACTCCTAGTGCCTTTTTTTTTCTCTGCAGGGAGACAGTGGCAGCTAATGGGGCTGGCAGCTTGATTACGGTCTCTCAGATCAAATGCAAATGGTGTGACATATTTTCCTTAATTTGGGGAGCCAGGCTAGAGATCAGAATAGAAATATGTCCAACTTCTGCAAAAGAGTGTAATTTTACAAAGCCGCAAAATAATTACTATTACTTGTATTACTTAAAATGAGGACTGGAATACCCAGGGCTGTGGTTTCCCTGGAGTCGCTCTGCGATAACTAATCTTTTAAGTGCTTTGGACAGTAAGACTGTGTCTGTGATACAGTGATGTAATATTCTCCTTTGCAATTTATTCTACGTTTATTTTAGTACTGGCTTTTGTACACTGCAGCTCTTCATTTTGTGCACCTCGTTTTAGTAAATGTAACCATATTTCAGCTGCATGATTTGATTATTATAGGAATCTATACTCTTTATTTGAGGTCATCATTAACCACTTGCTGCCTGCTCACAGTACATTTTCTGTGAATGGGAGGCAGCTGCAGGTATGCCGTGGAGCACATGTGCACTGGCACACCCCCAGGGGTGCACAGTGATGCAATCCTATAACCACCAGACACAACGGATCACGGTGCTCTGTACCTGGCTGCTGTGATCACTATGACCAATTAAAGCGATCACATGGTTACATGTAAGCAAAACTGTCATGAATGGCTTCTGTTCATGACAGCTTGCTTACTATTGTGACACTATGATTGACCCACATCTATCACATGGTACCTAGCACCCTGTACCATGTGATTAGCTGTAGCCAGTCATAGCATCATAATAGTAAGAAAGCTGTCATGAATGAAAGCCATTCATGACTGTTAAAACTATTGTTTATAAGAGTGATATCACTGTTAAAAGCAATAACAGTGTCAAAAAAAAAATCCTGATAACCTCCCCCAGAGTAACACATTGTCACTCTGAAGACAGTATGTAAAAAAAAAAAATTGAAAAAAATTGAAAAAAAAAAAGTTTAAAAAATGTAATATTTTTGTTGTTACATTCCTGATCACCACCACACACAGTCATATGATGATGCTGTATTGCACTGGTGACAGCATGTAAAAAAAATGTGAAAAAAATCAATTTTCATTTAATTTCTGTCAAAAAAGAAATGTAGCAGAATACATTTTAGCCTAAATCTCTGAAGAAAGATTATTTGCTTACAAAATTTTATATCAGACACTAAGAAAACTTTTTTTTTTTTTGGAATTTTTTTCATTTATATTGCAAAAAATTAAAAACCTGATAGTGATTAAATACCACCAAAAGAGCTCTATTTGTGTTGAAAAAAATTATAGAAATTTAATTTGGGTACAGTGCTGCATGACTGAGCAATAGCCAGTTAAATTAGTGCAGTGCTGAATATCAAGAAATGCTCTGTACTATCAGCAGATGGATTGGGGACAGTAGAAGAAGGGGAAGATCAGAGAAGACGGGATCAAACAGCCTTTTTACACAATGTGGAGGATTAACCTCTTAGGTTCCACAGTGAGTATAACAAGCATGCTTTACTGCATCTACAGACTGATTGTACTGTTGTGGGTTTAGTAACACTTTAAGCTTTGACAAAAATAAACCTGGAAGCTGATTGGTTTCTATGCACAGCTGCACCATATATTGCGCTCTCTCCAGTTTTAGTAAAAATCAACTCGCAGTGAATTTAGGGAATATGTAAACTCGGTGGCATTAGCAATCCTGTCATGTAATGATAACAAATTACAGGCTTTGACCTTTTAATTAAAAAGCATATAGAGTTTTGTGGTCCGAGAAATGAATTTACAGCCAGTGTCCAAAGGGCAGCAGTTTGATGCACCTATTGCACAGTACAGCAGACTGTAGTGGTCCACAGTATACATTATATAGCTGTGTAGAGAAAACAGCCGTCTAGACGTCAGATATAACATATACTGTAGAGGCAATAGTTTACTGTATGTAATTTCTAAAGCAGTGTATATTCTCCAGTCATGTAACATGCAGCACAATGTGCAGACATCAAGATGATGTAATACACAACATAGTATGCAGAATGCAGCAGCCAGGAGTATATAATGTACAGCACGTGGTGCAGATTGCATGCAGTCAGCAAACAGAACGCTGCGCTCTGGATTATCCTTAAGAATGACTCTTATAAATACTGGTTATGTAAAAGCAAAAAAAGCTGTTTCTGAAATCACCTTCTGGCTTGTAACCCTTTTTTTTTTTTTTTTACCTGGTGTAGATCTGGGCAACCATCGCGATATTCTGCAGGCCAGAGGTATGGGTGTTGTGCTGTAAATCTGAAATAAGAGACACAAACATTTGTGATAAAGTAATTGGTGTAACTAGAACCTTCAGGGCCCAGGTGCCCTCCCCACAGCCTGTTTGCAAGTGTGACCTTTGCGATTCTGTTAGATCTGCATCTCGGTTTCAGTAGTTTTCCATTTTTGTTATTTTATGTTTTGAATTAATTAATTTATTTTATAATTACATTTTTTAGGAGTCCCTTCGGGGAACTTTGGTGAAATATCAAGGGTCTAGATCTCTGTTGTTTCGCCTTTGAGACAGAGAAAGGAGGATTAACCACTTGCTCCCCCGAGGATTTACTCCCCTTCTTGACCAGCTATTGTGCTATTTCATCTGGTAATTACGCGGTCAGGCAATGCTGTACCCATAATAAATTTATGTCCTTTTTTTCACACAAATAGAGCTTTCTTTTGGTGGTATTTTATCACCTCTGCGTTTTTAATTTTTTGCACTATAAACAAAAAAAGACTGACAATTTGGAAAAAACCCCAATACTTTTCACTTTTGGTTATAAAAAATATCCAATAAACTCAAAGAACTAAAATGGACTAAAAGTCTTGCACAGAAAACCACCTACACAGCTGGTTCACCAGTGTCCGGAGGGGGTGACAGATCATACAGGTGTTCCCCCTACAGGCGTCACAGTGCTGGATAAGCAATCGCAAAGTAGTACATCCGGGATCTAAAATAAACAGAGAACATTTTATCCCATCACTAATGGTTGAAAGCATACAGTAATGTCATGTAGTGTTGTACTCAATAGAGTAATAAGTGCATTGGAAACACTGAAAATGAAAGCTGCAGATTCAAAAAAAAGATTGAAAACAACATCAGTTTTTCATCAGTTCACAAGTTTTTCATCAGTTTACATCCTGTGTTTCATCAGTGTACATCCAGTTTTCATCAGTGTACATCCATTTTTCATCAGTTCACATCAGTTTTTCATCAGTTCACATCAGTTTTCATCAGTTCACAACAGTTTTTCATCAGTTTACATCTGTGTTTCATCAGTGTACATCCAGTTTTCATCAGTTTACATCCATTTTTCATCAGTGTACATCCAGTTTTCATCAGTTTACATCCAGTTTTCATCAGTGTACATCCAGTTTTCATCAGTGTACATCCATTTTTTCATCAGTGTACATCCATTTTTCATCAGTTCACATCCGTTTTTCATCAGTTCACATCAGTTATTCATCAGTTCACAACAGTTTTTCATCAGTTCACAACAGTTTTTCATCAGTTTACATCTGTGTTTCATCAGTGTACATCCAGTTTTCATCAGTGTACATCCAGTTTTCATCAGTTTACATCCATTTTTCATCAGTTGCTGCATATCAAGAAATGCTCTGTACTATCAGCAGATGGATTGGGAACAGTAGAAGAAGGGGAAGATCAGAGAAGACGGGATCAAACAGCCTTTTTACACAATGTGGAGGATTAACCTCTTAGGTTCCACAGTGAGTATAACAAGCATGCTTTACTGCATATACAGACTGATTGTACTGTTGTTGGTGTAGTAACACTTTAACCACCTCCTGCCCGCCATATAGTCCAATGACGGGCGCAAGGTTGTTCTCTCATTCTGGGAGGACGTCATATGACGTCCTCCCATTCTCACCGCGCATGCGCGGCTCCGAGAGCGCGCAGAGCGGCGATCCGCGGTGTGCTGTGTCCCTCGGACACAGCGGATCACCGATCTACGGAAAGAGCCGAAGATGTCGGCTCGGTCATGTGATCAGCTGTGTCCAATCACAGCTGATCACATGTAAATAGGGAAATGCCGGTTATCTGCATTTCTCTCCTCACGAGCTGTCACACTGACAGAGGAGAGGAGAGCCGGTAATCGGCATTCCGCGGAGGGGACATGTACACTGATCATCAGTGCTCTGATGATCAGTGTGCCCTGATGATCAGTGTGGCCCCAGAAGTGCCACCTGTCAGTGTCCATGAGTGCCAGCTGCCAGTGCTGAACAGTGCCACTTGCCAGTGCCACATCAATGCCACATATCAGTGCCTACCAGTGCACATCAATGCCACATATCAGTGCCTACCAGTGCACATCAATGCCACATCAGTGCCCATCTGAGCTGACTTTCAGTGTCACCCATCAGTGCCAGTCAGTGCCACCTATCAATGCCAATCAGTGTCACCTATCAGTGCTGCCAATCAGTGCCACCTATCAGTGCCCCTCAGTGCCACCTATCAGTGCCAGTCAGTGCCACCTAACAGTGCCAGTCAGTGCTGCCTATCAGTGCCATATATGAGTGCTGCCTTTCAGTGCCCATCAGTGATGCCTGTCAATGCCCATCAGTGCCACCTACCAGTGCCTCCTCATCAGTGCCCATCAGTGCCACTTATCAGTGTCCATCAGTGCAGCCTATCAGTGCACATCACTGCAGCCTCATTAGCGCATATCAGTGAAGGAGAAAAATCACTTATTTACAAAATTTTACAACAAAAACTAAGAAAAAACTTTTTTTTTCAAAATCTTCAGCGTTTTTTGGTTTGTTTAAGAAAAAATAAAAAACCCGAGGTTATTAAATACCACCAAAATAAAGCTCTATCTGTCACAATAAAATGATAAAAATTTCATAGGAGTACAGTGTTGCATGACCGCGCAATTGTCATTCAAAGTGTGACAGCGCTGAGAGCTGGAAATTGGCCTGGGCAGGAAGGGGGTATAAGTGCCCTGTAGGCAAGGGGTTAAAGTGTATCTAAACACAACACGTAAATCGAATCTGTTGTTGCATATGCTCCTTCATTGTCCTTTTAGTATGATTCCTGCTTTCAATTAAGTAATCCCTGGTGATACTCAGGAACTTCCTTTCCTATGGTGACAACACATATGCAGTTCAGCTGCAGTGTTGTCATTCTTTATTGTGTGCTTAAGTTGGGTATACATGTTGTGTATTTTTTTGTTTACCCAGCAGGTTAATCCATGCATCAAAGCAAGTAATGTTGATGCAGTTATCTCTCCCGCTTTGTCTTTGTCTTCTGACAGCAGGGACTTCCTCCCTATCAGAATACATTAATTAGCGCTGCAGCTGATCAAATCCTGGTTTTCCAATATGACCTTTTGACAGAAGCCCGATCGCTAGACTGGCTTCTGTTGAACAGACTTTGGTACACATGGACCGAAATTTGGCCTGTTCCTACTGAAACAAACATTTTTGGCCTGTGTATACCCTTTTTTACACTACAAGCAGTCATGCTAATGACTACATTCCGCTATAGTCACCACAGTAAAACTGCCGGAGTATGCAGACATCAACAGGATGTTCATACAGAATCTGCAGGATGTGCACAGTGCAGGGAGAGAAATATGTGATTTACTTATGATCCTTTACAAAATTATGTTCTTTTGTGGAAGTTGTTGTTATACTACTTTACATTTAAAGGAATGCAGGGTGTCACCTTTCTTAGCTAAAGTCTAAATAGAATGTCACTGCACAGCTACATTCCCATGGATAGAAGAAAGCATCTTGGGGGAGATTTACTCAGGCTGGTTCACTCAGAACTTCGTGCACCTGTGCATGGCAGCCAATCAGCTTCTAACCTCAGTTTGTTCAAATAAACCTTAGCAATAAAACCTGGAAGATGATTGGTTTCCATGCAGAAGTGCACGAGATTCTGAGTGAACCAACTTTAGTTAATAAACCCCCTTGTGTCTGTGCTTTTTCAGCATCGGTTTGGTCCTTACTGCTGTCACTTTTATGATATATAAATCAATAGCTTAACATGGCCTGAACAAGCTGCAATGACACAGTGCCAATCAGTGGGGAAGACTGGCTCTGTACACCTATACAGATCCAGTGGTTGGGATGCTTGGGTTACACTGAAGCTACTGCGAACCTACTTTAATGTATGTAATTCTGACTAGGCATAAAGCACAAATCCAGTTAAAACTAAAAAATAACAACTTGTACCACTTAAAAACCTATATAAAGTTAAATTTGTCTTTTTTTTTTATAATCAGCACAAGGAATGGAACATTCAATGAGAAGTATCCCTTGTACTGGTGGCTGTTGCCTTAGTTGAAATCTTCAGTCCTTTGCCCCCCCATACCCTCAGAGCTGTAATCTGCCAGAGCTGCAGGGGTTAATGAGCCGCTGGACCTGTCATAGCCACTTGTGAAGAGAGTGCCTGTCCTTTCCATGCTCCTCCTCAATTTAAAGAAGCTCTACTATAGCTTCCATCTATGAAAAGTGCTCTGTGAATGGAGGAGGCAGAATTTTTGTTCACTCAACACTCTTCATTGCTGTGAGGTCACTGGATCGGCCAGAACAGCCTTGGGAAAAATATATATATTTAATTTTTTTATAAAATATGTGCGGAGTGCTGAGGGAGGGTTGGAGTTTCTATAGTGGAGTTGAGCATAAAGCTACTAATCAATATTTACAGGAAGAAATGTTTTAAAACAATAACCTAATAGTGAAGTGTTTTTAAATAGTTTGGTTTTATGTATTTTATGTATTTGCACAAGCATAATGCTTTAGTAAAATATAGAGGGGAACACCAAGTGCATGTCTTATTGAAATGACTTTTTTCCCTAAATATGTATACCCTGGCAGATTGGCAGTTGTCTCTGTGTGCAGATCAGCTCTTAGGAGTCATGCTGATTTATTAAGTGTTGGCAGCAAGCTGATCTTAGAACGACTCCGGGGACGGCTAAGTATCTTTTATATCTGGCAGCAGCAGTGACATCAGCCTAGACTTCACTGGCAGAGTCCCTGCAAACCAGTCTCATCGGTGCCAACCTCTATCCTAAATTCATCTTTAAATCCAGGTTTCCCCATCCACTTTAAGTTTTAATTCTGCTACTGCTATACATGTTTGGAATTTGGCTTATTGTAATTATATATTTAAGTTTTCCTCAGTAAGTACATTTTTCTTGGTTGCCAGTCAAAGTGATCTTTCACTATAAGGTTGTCTATGCTTCTAAACAACACAGATGGAGGAATGTCCTCTGCAGGCTATTAAAAACTGATAGCTAACATCCGCGGCTGTCAGAAAACCTGAACAGTTACTTCATCTGATTGGCCCAATGACTGTTCAGCCACCTGGCTCTTTTGTTTTTTGTTTTTTTTGCTAACTTGATTGATCTGGGTGGTGCCAAAAGATCCACCCACTGCTTACATTTCAACTGATTCAGCAGGAATCAGAAGGAATGCGAGCTATACAGTATATGGCCAACTTACATTTCTGCTATAGGCTGTGTACAACTGTAATGATCTGTTTCATACTGAAAATATTACAAACACTCTATTCAGGGAATATAATGATGGTTTCAGATATTCACACTACTGACAACTGCCAAGAGTTTAACAGATGTAATAATTAAAGTTGAACTCATGCAGAAACATTAAAGAGGAACTTCAGTTGTTCTTGCTCTGGTTTTTTTTTTTCTAACTCCAATTATCTGTTATGTAGCGCTGTCCTGGGTACAGATACACACCTGCCCAGCAGATCCAGCATTGTCCTGCTGCAATCTGTTTATCAGGTGCAGCAGTCCAGGTCCTGTGTCACCATCTTGGTCCTCCTCAATCATCGTAGGCCAGCTGCCGCTTCCAGGTTCAGGCAGCTGGCCTCCGATGATGACCACAGCTCAGCCCATTGACCACTGTTATTCCCTACTCCTGCAGTCTCCATGGGATATGTGACATGGAATCCCAGGAGGCTGAGGCAGCAAGGACACATCGTTCTTGGCTAGGTGAGAATGGCGGTGGGTGATCAAGCCCAGGCCTATGGTGTAAAAAAGAAAAGAAAAGAAAAAAAGAGCCCCCAAAAAAGTTCTGATTCATAGTGCAGAGGGTAGCGGCCATGCACAGAGCTTCAGATGATGTGGGGGGTGAAGGTCTGCTTTAAGTAAATTTAGAATTCTACCAGTTTAAGTTCATGAATTTGACTTGTTATCAGACTGGGAGAGGGATGGACAGGACAGGGAGCCAATCAGGTGCTGAATGAACATACTTTGATAAGTAACATACTGACAGGAGGAGAGTGGGAACTCTTTCACTGTCCAAATGATCTTTTATATTTAGCTGGCCAGGAAATCTCATCCTAGTTTAATAAAATAAAAAGTCTGTTACTGTCACTTTGTGGTTGCTAGGATTTCTGTTAGACCACAGCATGCACTTAGTGGTCTGAGAACAACATACCAAAATCTAGTAATAATTCACTACTAGTGCTAAAGTAATTTGGAAGGCTGCCAGGACAGTATGCTGCTTGAAGCACCCTTGAGTATCATGCACCCCTAGGGCTTTATCATTCTGACCTTGTAACCTCTGTAGGATGTAATAATGCCTCACAAAAACTGATATTCCAGGGTTGAATCACATTCTGGCTTCTTACATCTCTTTGTATTACTGCCTACTCCTACATGGCCTTAAAATCCACTCCTGGCAAAAACATTTACCATACCTCTCTCCAACCCCCTCTAACCCAATCTCCTAGTATTTTTTCTCTTCCCTGGTGAAAACAGATACAGTCAGGTCCATAAATATTGGGACATCGACACAATTCTAACATTTTTGGCTCTATACACCACCACAATGGATTTGAAATGAAACAAACAAGATGTGCTTTAACTGCAGACTGTCAGCTTTAATTTGAGGGTATTTACATCCAAATCAGGTGAACGTGTAGGAATTACAACAGTTTGCATATGTGCCTCCCACTTGTTAAGGTACCAAAAGTAATGGGACAATTGGCTTCTCAGCTGTTCCATGGCCAGGTGTGTGTTATTCCCTCATTATCCCAATTACAATGAGCAGATAAAAGGTCCAGAGTTCATTTCAAGTGTGCTATTTGCATTTGGAATCTGTTGCTGTGAACTCTCAAGATGAGATCCAAAGAGCTGTCACTATTAGTGAAGCAAGCCATCATTAGGCTGAAAAAACAAAACAAACCCATCAGAGAGATAGCAAAAACATTAGGCGTGGCCAAAACAACTGTTTGGAACATTCTTAAAAAGAAGGAACGCACCGATGAGCTCAGCAACACCAAAAGACCCGGAAGACCATGGAAAACAACTGTAGTGGATGACCGAAGAATTCTTTCCCTGGTGAAGAAAACACCCTTCACAACAGTTGGCCAGATCAAGAACACTCTCCAGGAGGTAGGTGTATGTGTGTCAAAGTCAGCAATCAAGAGAAGACTTCACCAGAGTGAATACAGAGGGTTCACCACAAGATGTAAACCATTGGTGACCCTCAAAAACAGGAAGGCCAGATTAGAGTTTGCCAAACGACATCTAAAAAAGCCTTCACAGTTCTGGAA